GGAGACGGGACGGAGACCAAATCCAGACGTGGTCGGTGACAGCGGCAGCAACAACTCTACCTGCAACTGGCAGCTGGGAGCTGGGAGCTGGGAGCTGGAAGGTATCCTGCTGTCTATCTGGCTGTCAATATCACAATATCACACAAAAAGGATCAGGTCGCTGGCAGTGGAAACATTTGAGGGAAAATATAATTTGCGCCTGATGGGAAAAGGGGTTTTGGTTTTGTTTGGCCGGCAGGACCTGCCAAAAACTGACTGGCTGTGCTGCGGTTGGAGGAATCCAATTAGGCCAGTGCAGTACACAATTTAAACCATTTAGCGTTAGTTCCTGCCTCGCCGCGAGGCAGTTCTGATGAGAAGATATTCAAAAATACACACACGTCGTATGTATATCTGCTGGCATAAAAATCGATAGAATGTAACGAGCTAACCAGCACCGGCAGGGTGGATGTGGGCGGCTCACCTTGGCCAGAGCCAGAGCCAGAGCCAGAGCCAGACCCAAAGGCGCAGCGTGATATTTTACAAGTGTTGGTTTTTCTTTCTGTTTTCTTTTTTTATATTTGCTGTTTTTCCTACTACTGGTGGTGGATCCGTTGTGGACTCTGGGTGGTGGTGGTGTCTGCTTTACGGCTCGCTTACATCCAAGCAGATGCCAGACTAACCCGTCATCTAATTGCCAAAAGGCGTACCCTCTGTGCCCTCAACGGCATTACTTCACTCGTGTCGGCATGACTGAATTCCTAATTGAAAATAAACATTAAGGTACGCAATTAAATATGCTGCAGTCTCCTGGTGTTGTTTACGGCCCTCGTTATCCCCACTTTGAAGTTTATTCTATCCTCATTCATCTTTTTATTGCCGCGAGGCTCGAGCATCCCTCCTGTGGGAGCTTTCCAACGACTTTCAGTCACCTCTCGGTGTCGAATTTCAATTGTTTGCTCCACTTTGCCGGCGGAGAATTAATTAATCGCTTAGCCGGCTCCATTTCGCAACATGACAAATGATGGGACATCTCTCGGGTCAAACAATTAGCTGTAAATTAAATTTGAATTAAGCTTAACTGCGGCGAAAATCGACGATGGCTATAAGACTTTACAGGTGATATTCAATAATAGGAATTTAGAATTCAGAAGAGCATGGAAAAATCAATTTTTACTTCCATCTGTATTTCTTTAAAAACAAGAAAGGAAACTAACTTCGGGAAATCGAACCTGGCAGAGAAAATCCTTCATAGCTTTGTCAAAAATCCATTAATTTACAATTGGAAAGCTTTCCAATGCTTGTCTTTATTAGGCTACTAAATCTGAATACTCAATTTGAAATTTAAAAAATTAAACATTTTGGCAAATTTTGTCAATTATAACGATGTAACCCCTTTTAAAAATTTTTCAAAATTTTGAAAAAATTAAATTTTTGTCGGACATATCTTGAAAGATTCGCCTGTTGATGCTGATCAAGAATATATATGATTTATGGGGTCGGAAATGACTCCGTTACATTGTTCTAGGCTTCTGAATATAATTATAATACCCTTCTTTGACCCAATATTTATCTATATTTTTATATGAAAATATGTTTTACAAATAAAATTTAAAAATCTCATAACCAAGCCAAAAGAGCATTAATTTTAATTCCAAAACCACTTCTATGTTAGTTTTTAGTAGTTTTATAAATCTGCATACTCAATTTTAAATTTGAAAGTATTAAGATTTTTATCAATTTTTCGACGATTTTAATGATGTAACCCCTTATAAATATTAAAAAATTTTAAAAATTTATTTTTCTACCGGATATGGATAGATTGACTAAGCTCTTCTTGCTGATTATGAATATATATGCTTTATAGGGTCGGAAATGGGTCCTTCACAGGGTTTTAAGCTGCTGACTAAATTTAAAATACACTCAAAAAGTATAAAAATTAAAAAGTTTTAAGCATAAGTAAAACGTGAAGAACGCTTGTTTTTAATTCGGTATCTCAAGTATTCCAACTTTATTTTGCAACTTCTTTTCTTTCAATTTTCTTCTGCAGTTTGGAATAACGAAGTTGGCCTGTGTTTTTTGTATAGAACATATATTTCTTGCTGCTTTGTTTTGTGTACAAGCTTTTTGTTTGGTCTATTGTGGGCGCCTGACGAGGCCAGGTTTCTTGACGTTTTTTTCTTCTTTGAGTCCGCCTGCCTACCTTTGCGTGCCTTGTAGACATTTTTCTCCGCTTTGGCCGCATGGTGCGTACCAGGTAACCTTGTTTCCAACCACTTTTGGCTGCTTTTGGCCAAAGTACATTGGCCCGACTTGGCCACGCGGTGGATGGCTGGGCTATATAATTTGGACTTTGCACACATGGGACTTATACCCGGTAGTTGAAGGAGATACAGGATAATGTATAAAACAGAAAGAATATTTGAAATTAACATAATTAAGATCACTAAAAGGTAGAGCTTCTTAGTAAATATTTGAAAGCGTCTTCTTATGTATCCTTATTTATTTATATTCTTTGTAATAAGATGGTTCATAAACTAATATATTACCAGGTATTACTTTGTCGAGGCAAGCCACTTAGTATATCGTTCTTTCTTGTTTTATATTTAAACCGCGCGCAAACATCCGCAGCAGGCACACCCACCCACCCACCCACCCATACACACACAGGCACACCCACAGCCACAACCACTTTTCTCCTGCTAAGGACACGCACACGGAGCAACGAGGCACACCTTGATTTACCTTTGAGAAGAAGCCCCTGCTCCTGCTCCTTCTCTCACTCCACCTCCGAGTAGGATTCATATCGATCGCTGCATTAAAAGTTTCCTCCCTCAACTATGAAAATAAAACCAAATAAAAAGAAGCTGCAAAAATAGTTTGCGTTTTTTTTTTGGCGCTCGTAATTGCCTTTACGTGGCTGGATTTTGAAGGTTTCTGACTGCTGATTGGGGAATTCGGTGGCAACAAACTTTGAATGCAGACCGAAACTTTGTGTAGATATTAAAAAGTAAGAAAATAAACACGGACTACCGATGGGAAAGTCATTTTCATGCACTCTAGCTCGATAATCAATCAATAAAATGGCGATAACCTTGACATGACTTTCAGTTCAGGCACCTGTTCTCATTTGAGTTGTGAATTGTAAATGGAAATGAAATAAACTAGCGAAATATCGTTAGCCTCCTCTCATTCCGATTCAGTGGGTCAGTTGGGAGCGCTTTTCCTGTAAATTAAAATGGAAAAACTTCTGCCCTAATCACCTACAGCGACTTGCCAAGCGGTGAATAAATTGTAACTTTTTTACAGCACCTTCTTTACTTCCTTTTTTTTTAGATCGAAACTTTCTGCTGCATAAGAAATGTAACTCAAGTGACAGAGGCAAAGAGTTGAGACAAAAAGGTGTGAGAACGCAGCGGAAAAACTTTGTAAATTTCTGTGTTCATCTGCTTTTGAATTTATTATGTTGGACATGTTTGGGACTCGGTTTTATGGTCTTAACATAATTTCGTGGCCTTTTGAGCCCTAGAGCACAAGTTAGGGCTTGATAAATTGCAGAAAGTGCTTGTCAAGTGATAAATGACAAAGAAATTGGCAAATTGTGTGACAGTCCTTGGGCCGAAATAAAAAGAGAAAAATATTCTAACAAAGGACTGGTCAGGGGAGATCCTTGTGGGTGACCAACACACCGACGTCTCTGCATTGCGGACCTGGATTTAGACCAGATATTAATCAGTGGCCAAGCTGTTTGCCAGTCTCATTGTTAGCTCTATTTGAGGGGGTATTTTGAGGGAGAGAGGGTATGTGGGAATCGTCTGTTTATTGTTCGGGCAATTGCAGAAATTAACAAAGAAATTGCCCAGGGTTTTGTGTGGGTGTTGTGGAAGAAAAATATTACATTATCGTGTGCAAATAAAAAAGGATAAATTGATGTATCAGAGTATATGAACTAAAGGGTAAGAGATGGGTAGATGATAGGGGTTGAATTAAAGTATCATACCCAAAATCGACTAAAACGAAGTTTAATATTCGCATCCTTTGAATCAATATTTATAGATATTTTTATATGACAACTCAAATATTAAAAAATGCATATCTTAGCCAAAAAAGCATTAAATTCAATTCGGAAACCTGTTTTGTGTTAGTTTTTAGCATGTTAATAAATCTGCATACTAAATATAAAATTTAGAAAAAGTAAATTTTGTTCGATTCTTTTAAATTTTAACGATGTAACCCCTTATAAAATTTTGAAAAATTTCAAAAAAAAATTGTTCTACCGAAGATGGCTAGATCGATTCAGCTTTTAATTCTGATCAAGAATATATATGATATATAGGGTCGGAAATGACTCCTTCACATCGTTTAAAGCTTCTGACTAAAATTATAATTCCCTACAATAACATAAAAATTAAGTTACAGAAAGGAGTTTGCTGCTTAAAAAATGCTTAAACATTAGCACACATAAAGTTTATATCTAAAATATCCACATCTTTACAAGTCCCCTAGCCTTCTTGTGACCACCAATTGAGCGTGAGGAAAATGTCGGTTTATTGTCCAAGCAATTGCTAAAATTAACGAAGAAATTGCACGATTGCTGTCCAGGGAATTACGTTTGTTGTAAAAAAATTACATTCTGAGTATGAGAGTGTGTGAAAAAAGCAAACAAATACATTGAATGAAATAAAATTCTTTGCAGCAAATGAATCTCTAAGAACTCAAACCCACCTTACATAAGCCCCAAAATGTATGCTACGAAAAAGCACGCAATGACAAAATGAGGGAAAAAGCACAGCCGACCAGCGGCGACCGACAGGTGAGAGAGAGCGTGTGCTTCCGAAGGAAATTGATTTTCTTCGCACGACGCGAATAGAATTTTATTCAAATGTGCCCAACTGGGCGAGAGTAATGGGCCTGGGAACGTACGGAAGGAGGAAGGACGGTGCGGGAAATTGAGGGGGACGGCAATCCAGGAGCCTTTGCCAATTGGCCGGATGCCCGGCAGTGGAGCAGGCGCATGCGCCATGTGTCCTGCGCCATGGAAGGCTCACGGCAGCGGCGGGGAGCAGATCTCTCCGAACGGCACAACATTCCAGGCGCACTCCGTCGTCCATGAATACCGAATACCGACAAAGCGAACGAAACGGCGAGAGCTCTGTCCGTGGCTCTGGGCTGTCAGACAGAAGTTACCTTTGCTCCTGCCCGGACGACTGAACGCACGCTGCTGCCGTTAGTCGCCGTAGTCGTGGAAACACTCCCCGGAGCAGCTCCCAGAGCCCAGTTCTTTTTGTGAGCCACAGCGGACGGACCCAGAGCCAAGCTAGAGCTAATCCGAGCGAGGTGTGCTGAGCGAGCGTTGACGGGTAGAGTGCTTGACGGGTAGAGTGTCAGTGTGTCCGGTGTGTGCTTTTTGGTGTGATTAGCGCGCGCGCTCCGTTTATATAACACCTCGCGCGCGTTTTTGAAGCAAGACCAGGACCAGGAGTCGTCCGTCCAGGCAGTCCAGGAAGTCGCAGTCGTCCAAGGAGTCGCGAACGTGGCGTCCAACGAGGCCAACACCAGCGCCGCGGGCAGTGGCGCGGAGTCCGCCGCCCTGTTCTCGAAATTGCGTAGCTTCTCCATTGGCAGTGGGCCCAACTCGCCCCAGCGTGTCGTGTCCAACCTGCGCGGCTTCCTCACCCATCGCCTGAGCAACATCACACCGAGCGACACAGGTGAGCAAGAACAACCAGCAAGGACCAGCGAGCACCAGGTGACCATCACTGGGCCCACACTTGCATAACGTGTCCATCTCCGTGAGGGCATATAATTAAAATTAAACAACATCTCGCCCGCAAACACTTGAGCTTAGCAAGTGGTTCGTCCTCGTCCTCAAAGGCCTCTAGCCCATCAGCGTTGTCCTTTGGCATATAGCGACCCCTGCCTACCTCTAGACCTCAGTCCCTCCCTGGACATGCTTAGGTATATATATTTTTCATATATATATATATATATATATATATGTAAATATGTATGTATATACTCTCCTCGCCACTTGCCACATTTCACAGGGTAGACACATTTTATTTATGGCCCCAAAAAAAAGAACGAAACTCGTAGGTTCGTCGTAGGTTGGCAGGTTTCACTTCGCTCAATGGAACGTTCGGGACTGGAACAGTCACCATTCGAACGCTGAGCGCTTCTTATGTAATGTCCATGGGAAAATCAGGTGGCTTTGGTGCTGAGGAAAAATAAGGGAAACATTTTATACCTCATTACATTTTAAAGAAGGATTGAATTTAAATAATTGCCATTTGAATATGGGTTTAGATATTTTTTCCTGACGATTTTAAATTTATTTAAGGTAGTAACTAAGGGTATGATATATACACTTTAGTTAAACTATTTGTATTGTAAATAGAAAAATAGACCTTGACCAAATTTAACTCGATTTTCAATGTTTTTCTATACAAAATATCACTACCATTTCTTAAATAAGTATTTGGACTAAAATATACACATTCCAAAAGACACTTTTTTGTAATATTAATTAAAGTAATTCTTTAAAATTAAATCAGTGTTCACGTAACAGCCAGAAAACATGAAATAAAATACATACATATACCTTTAAATACATCCCAAAAATAGAGCTTGGAAAGCTGTTTATAAACCATACACCTTCCGATTTATGAAACCTAATTAATTCCCAGCCAAATCGAGAAAGTCTGCCTTTAGAGACAGCTACTTAGAAACTTTACTGATAAAATACAAATTAATAATATAAAAAATATATATACAACAACAAATAAAAGTTTTAACATTCCCAGTTATATTTTTTAAAAGCTTAAACTTAATAACTGAAATGTTATAGGTATAAAATGTACCTCTCAAACTGCTTAATATTTGAAACATTTCATCAAAGCCAAGTATGTAAAGGAATTTTAGAACCAAAACACTAAAAATTTCAATAGTTCAGTCGAGTCCTTTCTGCTGTCACTTAATTAGAAGATAGAATCCGAAAACAACTGCCTTCATTAAATTGGGCAGACTAATCAAATTTGTGTCGGTTGCCCCATTAAATCATTACAATTCTTCTCTGGGAGGAAAGTGTCGATGGTCTAGTCCGTGGTCTGGTTGGAGTTCATCGAGTCATCGACCGACACCACTGACATACCACCAAGGAGCCACCTGCCGGAGCGAAGCAATTTTCTCTGGTACTGCGGCTGCTGCATAATGAAGGCAATAAATATAAATTTCACACACAAACACAACACAAACAGGCAACGGCGGCGGTTGTCGTCATTAGATTGTTTGCCTTGTAGACGCGTTTGTATCGCTGATGTGTTCATAGCGGTTTCGTGTCAAAACAAAAAGGGGGTTGCTGGGCATCCCCTTTATACTCAGCGTCCTTCCGTTTCCCCCGATCCTAGCCAGGCCCGAGGGGATGGAACAGAGACAAAGGCTGGCAGGAAGGTAGTCCGTAATAAGCTAAACGAGAAACAAGTAACGCATTTGTCTTGATGCTGTCTGATAAAAACGGACCAGGACCAGGACCAAGGCAGTATCTCGAGGGTTGCCAGCATAGAGCCATCACAGGCCGCAAGGGGGGAAATGCGACAAGGAGCTGGGGAAAGTAAGAGAATATGGAAAAGGGAAGGAAAACTGAAGCCAAAGCTACATCAAAAGTCGTCGTAAACCGGTCGCTGATGGTGTTGTTGATTGCTCCGCTTTTGCCCATCTACAAATGGTTACATTTTAGGCCCAGAGGTCGATGCTGGAAATTAGCAATTTGCCACAACAGTCAGAATATCGCAGCCATTAATCAAAATTGCACTACAAGAAACTGTCTTGCGATGATATGAATATGAATCAGATTATTGAGCTTGTAAAATCTATAAGGAGGTAGGATTTAGAATTCTATAGAGTCTTATTACTTTGTGATCTAAGATATACTATATCGCAGAGTGATTTCAAAGAGAAATTTCCATGACTTTAAGTACTTTATATCACGGATTTTATATTTTCTTATGGTGTACCTGAAAATAATACATCCTAAAGGTAAATTACTTTCATCTCCCACCCGAAAAAAGAAAAGGCAATAAGTGTTGCAAGTCCAAGTAATTTATGTGCAAATCAATTTGTAATCCAACGCTCAAACGCTGACCAAAAAGGGATGTTCGATGGAAACTGGCCATGTGTGCGAATAGCAAGGACATTAGACACGCAAAGCCACCCACGGGCGGGGAAAGAGGAAACCATTTGCACTCACTCCTACTCATATAGAGTCCCCCATCGTCCTGGGCCACGCCCAGTTAATGTTTTGATTTATAGGCAGCCCCACTAAAGGGGCCCACTCATACGCCCCGTGGTACAAGAGCGGCAACAACAAAATGGCGCCTCTGCTCTGCCTTTTGTGTGCTCCTTTATTATCCTACAAGGGAGCCCGGAGCCCGGGATACCGAGTTTGAAACGGATCCTCGGGCTAAGTGGCTGCTGGTCCACTGGGAGTTGATAAAAGCAAAACAGCAGCAGCAATAAAGGCCATAAAACAAGAACTCTAAGAGGGTGGCTGCAAACACGTTTCGCGTGAAAAGGATCCACAACCGAAATTGACATTTTCGTTGTGTTCCCAGGAAAAACTTTTGCAATTAAAAAGTATTTCCAGCTAAGCACACCCATCCCCAGCTAACCCAGTTAGAAAACTCACGCAATCGATTGCCTCAAAAAGACAACGGACAAGACAATTAAACTTGAAACAGAAATGTCACCAAGACAAAACACCAGGCATTTGGTTGACGGAAGAGGGTTAAGGTAACCGAGGCAACTACGGCGCCCAGTTAATCGATCAAGAGTGGCCAAGGTGAGACCACCGAAGAGTGCAGTAAGTGGAGGCTCATTAGCTGACCACGGTTCATTAGAGGCAATTGCTCAGGTGCCGGCGCCAGTTAACGAAGTGAGTTCCATACGTGGCTTATGCGCCGGCGAGCACACCCACGTGGAGAGAGGTGAACTTCCTACAGTTTTGGTTCGATTTTTCTATTACACTGAGAATATAAATTGGGAATAATATTCTACATTGCATTTTTAACGTTTGGTTAAAAACGGAACTCATTTAGGAATAAAATGTAAGGTGTAGATGAATGGAGTTTTCCCTCTCTATCTTTTTAAACAATCTATATTAGTCCTGATAATATATTTAAAAATTGCTTAGGCTTAGAAGAATGTAAGAATGTCAGATTTTCAGAAATTTTTTTGTTACATAATATTTTTAAATTACATAATACTTCCTAGTAAATTTCCGCTAATTAACAGTGTAGAATTTCGAACCCCTGACCCCTGCCAGTAACTTCAACCCTTCGAAGAGGCACACCACTTGAACAAAGCAGCTTACACCACTTGCGGGGAGTTTTACAAGCCCAACTTTTCGATGGGGTGTCCAAGGGAGAAGGGATGGTATATATCTCTGGCCTTACGAACACTTGTGAGGATTTTCCGCTGCCTTTTGTCAAGTGCCTGCGTGCGAAATGCGGCTTACCATAAATATTATGATATATTTTATTTGCTGTTTATTTAAGATCCCGTCCCCAGCCCCCTCCTGCACTCCTTTAAAAAGTAAAAGCAAAAAGAGAATTCCAAATGGTCTAGATTATTAATTTTAATGGTATACAAGAATATACGGCTGTGTTTTGGAGCCCCGGGTAGCCATGGCGAAGCGCCAAAGCTCACGTTGCCATCATCTCATTGCAAATGCAAACAGCCCCCGACACGGGCGATATTGTATTTTTTATGTCTTACCCTTCAGGAGAATGAAATTGTATTTTACGCTGATTACCTCGTCAGACAGACGGCAGGCACACCCAGCTGTCCACGCCCCCGCAGAGTCACAGGCTGAAAAAGCGAATGTAATTTCATTCGGTGGCCCCCTTTTTCCTTTTTATTTCTCGGAAGCAAACATCCTTGGAAGGTTTTTGTGAAAAACGACAGGAGCAGAGAGCAGCCAGCAAGCTGCGAATGTTCCCAGGGTTACGGTTGCGGGTGGCAAAAGTCGACGATCATCCTGCCATTGATGTGAAGGCGTGATGTGGGTGGGCTCTTTGAGCTGGCAAAAGCCGAGAATACTCCTGAATTGCTGGCCCAGATCCCATTTTGCACTTTGTTGTCTGGCAGAAGATTAAATTTGGGCTTCCTAACAGGCTTCGCAGCTTGGCTTAAAGTTGAGCTTTACATAAAAGGGAAACTAGTCCTGTACAAACTTACATTTTCTGAGAAAGATGTCTTTAAAAGGGGTTTCCAGGGGAAACAAATTGGAGTTCTATAATTATTGTATACAAATATTTAAAAATAATGGAAACCCTTGCTTTAATCTTAATTCTTAACTTTTTTAAACGCCTTTTTGTGCTATTTTTTGTCTGCTATTTTATCCAATTATTTAAAATAAGCTAGAGAACATTGCTGGCACCTGAAGCATCCCCCTCAGCTAGTCTATTATTAACGAAGCAGAAAGTAGAAACTAAATTTGGCCCAGGAAACAAACACATGGGCTGTCATAATTTACTGCGGTGGATGCTGCATAAAAGATGAACGCTTGGCCTGCTAATTGAGCCGGAGTCGGAAGTTGCCGCTCGACCCCACAGAGCAACATGAAAGCAACCCAAAATCCCCAGCAGGACGCACCAACAAAGGGCCACTGGGTTGAGACTGGGGGGCTAGAGAGCCGTGGTTGTGGCTGGGCGGAATGAAAATGAAACTCAAAGCAAAAGCAAGACTGAATCGAAAATTTTGTATAAATGTTTATGCATCCGGCTGGGAAATTCGTCAGCTGTCCATGGAGCTTTACCAGACAGGGCGTAAAAATCAATAAAATTATAAAAGCGTAAATACAAATTGCTATAGCTTATACATAAACATATATGCACAAGGAATAACACATAATTGGGTGTGGGTTTATGCAGTTACTTTTCAAGATATTTCAAATCCTCCGTATTTGTGTGAATAAAGACATCGTTTTATGTATATTTCTCCTCTCTGTCAGGAGTGCCACAGGAATCTGGAATTAGCAAATTGTGACATCCCCTGTCTTTAAATTATATTCCTCTCCAAATAATCGAACTGGTTACAATTTGTGGTGCTATATTTCCTGTACATGATAATAATTACTCTTCGCACACACTCTCAAAGTACATTGAATTCAACATTTATCTATGGTTTGGGCCTTATTATAATCAACATGTAGGCACACGTTTCTGCACTTGACTCGAGCAGCTGCAGGCGACCAACCCCTGACGCTGATATAAAAAGGCCTGCCAACCACCACCACCCTCAGGGTCAAGTGCGGCCACCCACCTGACCCACCAAACCCACCAAACCCACCAGACCCACCAGACCTGGACCTCCCTCCTGTTATTGTTGCTAGGGGAAAGTACTCAGGCATGGAGAAAACTCAAAAATTAAAGTCGCTGGATGGAAAAATAAAAGCAAAACCAGCGCGTACAACATAATTGACTCATGGGCAGACCGGGGGCTGTTACCTTATAATATATACACACACACACACAAGGGTGAGTGCCACCGCCCTCGATCAGGAGACTTGGCCCAAGGTTGTTGCCGGGTAGGTTTTGGGGCTGATACACGGACGTGGTCATGAAAATTTAATGATAAAACGAAATGTTTTTGTTACGTCTCGCATACGGCTCATAAGGGGGCGGCTTTCAGTCCGGACTCCGGAAGGTGTGGGCTCAGAATGTGGGGAGCGACTCATATTTATACCCAGCACACGTCGCATTTTCATGTTTACCAGCAAAAGCGCGGGGGTGGCTGCTCGTCGAGCTCTACAAGGTAGATAAATGTTGAAATTAGATCAGCATTGATAGCGCTGGCTCAGCAACGATGTTGGCTACACCTAAATTTAACGAAACGAAGCCCTAATGAACACGATTTTTTCAATATCTGGTAGGAGAAGCCGGGGTGTCACTTTACCAAAAATATCACAACACATACCTTTAAGGGAAATTAAATAAGAGAAAATCCTATTTTAAAACTTACCATTTTGATATAATTTACATACAAGTATTTATTTTTCTATTGTGTTTTATACAAAATATCTTAAAACTTTACATGCTATTTGTATTATGAGCTGGTTTCAAATTTTAAATACATTTACAGGTGTCTTTCTGTACCCTTTCGCAGAGTAATATAATTTTAGTTAAAAACTTGCAACGCAGTGAAGGAATCATTTCCGACCCTATAAAGCATATACATATATTCTTGATCAGAATCGCCAGCAGAGTCGATTTAGCTATCTCATGAGGGGAAAAAAAGTTATCAATTTTTTTTTAATTTTATAATTATAATTTAATTTTATTATTGTAAAAATTGTAAAAAAAATTGATCAAAATTTTAATTTTTTTTAATTGCAAATTAAGTTTGCAGATATATTAAACTAATAAAAACTAGCACAGAAAGGTTTTTCGAATTGAAATTAAAGAATGTTTGGCTAAGTTAAGCCCAAAGGAAGGATGAAGGATATTCAAAACTTCGACTTCTCGAACTACATATTTTTATTCTTTCTTTTAACTATTTTTCCTATTACTAATTTTGCGGCTGTTTATTGAACAAAGCTTTCAATCAAAATCCCTATATAATTTGTTGTAAGCAAACATTTTAATTAAGTAATAATAGTAATAAATAACTTACGTAGGCTTAAAGCAAGAAACCGATTATTTTAAAGAAGGAAAGTTAGAAACTCTATTTGCCACTTGTCCCCCCCCAGTGATTAATTTGGTCGGAAAACTGTTCGAAAAGTAAGCTAACATTCTACTCAAAAAGAAAATTTCAAAATTCCAGATAATAAATGTTCGTGGGTGGACTTTCACTCTCTTTTTGTTTCCTTGCTGTTTGCGTGCGAGTCGAGGGTGTCCTTTTTGTTTATGTGTGTGTGTGGGAGCCAAAAGCAATAATTATAATTGCAGCTTCGATGAGTGGAACCACGTGACTCTGAGGACTCTCCACTCGGTTCTTTTTTAGCTCCAAAGCCCACCACAAATCCAATTAAAATAATTGCTTCCCGCCCTTATAACCAACGTAGACCTCCGCTAATACGCGATGAATTAATTGTAGAATGTTCTCGTCCTTGTTCGGTATTTGTTTTATGATTGAAATGTGTGTCCCTCGATTAAAATACAAACATAAAGAAGTACTAAAAAATCAACAACAATCTTGTGTAATCGAAATAACGCGTTATAATGCTGTTGTGACAATGCCACGAACTAAACCTAATACAATACAATCTCTGTTCACCAGCAGGGCAGCCTTTTGCAACACAGAAACAACATTTCAATCATAAAATAATCCCAACTAACAAAGAAGTAAAACCTAGTTAAGAAAGAGGGCGCGAGATAGATCTTGGGTAACCCCACAAAAATAAAATAAAAGAAAAACCAAGGCGAGTTATAGAGAAAAGAAAAAAACAAAAAAAGACTAACGAAATCTTGTTTCTGTGTCGTTAAAGGTTGTTCACTGGCATGCCAACAACTCGTACACCTCCGACTCCGACAACTACACCAAAACATGTAAAACCACATTGCGGCAGGAACAGCAACAGCAGCAAAGGCAAACACAGTTAACCACAAGCAACGAAAAACCACCTCAAGGAGAGAAAAGGAAACGGAAACCCAAAACATAACCGGAAGCGGCCATATTTGTAGCGAATGCTAAGCGATTTCCGGCTGAGACCATGAACGTTGCCAGGCCACTTTGAGTACAAACCAAAAGAGATAAGAGAAATAAAAGAAAAACCAAATCAAAGGGAACATATCGTACTCCTCAGCTATCCATAAGAAGCATTCAACATGGCGGGCGCCTTCCAAATACCTGTTATCAACCTCGAGGTGCGCGAGGTCAAGGAGATCGTGTGGGAGAAGATCCAGGAGCCGGTCAACCAGCGCCGCCTCATCCTGGTTATCGTGTCCATAGCTTTGCTGCTGGACAACATGCTCTATATGGTGATAGTGCCCATCATACCCGACTATCTGCGAGAGATTGGCAGCTTCGATGACGGGCCCACGCCTCCGCCTCTGCGGGATAATATCACAGGCAAGATCATACCAGTGCACCATGATCACCATGGCCAGGACTCTGCTACGGGCATCCTGTTCGCCTCCAAGGCTATCGTTCAGCTGATGGTGAACCCTTTTTCGGGCGGTCTCATCGATAAGATTGGCTACGATATTCCCATGATGATCGGCCTGACCATTATGTTCTTCTCCACGGCCGTCTTTGCCTGCGGCAGCAGCTACAGCGTCCTGTTCTTCGCCCGCTCGCTGCAGGGAGCCGGCTCTGCCTTTGCGGATACCTCAGGACTGGCCATGATAGCCGATCGCTTCACCGAGGAGAATGAGCGGTCACAGGCTCTGGGTATAGCGCTAGCCTTCATCAGCTTCGGTTGCCTGGTGGCTCCTCCGTTTGGCGGCGCCCTGTATCAGTTCGCGGGCAAGGAGGTGCCGTTCCTGATCCTGGCACTTGTCTGTCTGCTGGACGGCCTGATGCTGCTGCTGGTGATGAAGCCCTTCAAGGAACAGATCAAGCAAAGCAAAGAGGTACAGGACCAGGTGATACCCATCTGGCGCCTGCTCATGGATCCCTACATCGCTGTCTGCGCTGGAGCTCTGACCATGTCCAATGTGGCACTCGCCTTCCTGGAACCAACTATTTCGCTGTGGATGGAGGACACCATGACCACGGAGAACTGGAAGATTGGCATGGTGTGGCTACCAGCCTTTTTCCCTCACGTCCTGGGCGTGGTAATCACAGTGAAGATGGCTCGCAAATATCCGCAGCACCAGTGGCTAATGGCCGCCGGCGGATTGGCCCTGGAGGGTTTGTCCTGCTTCGTAATACCGTTCTGCAGCGGCTACAAGATGCTCATGCTGCCCATCTGCGTGATCTGCTTTGGCATCGCCCTGATCGACACGGCCCTGCTGCCCACGCTGGGCTACTTGGTCGACGTCCGCTACGTGTCCGTGTATGGCAGCATCTACGCCATCGCGGACATCTCTTACTCCATTGCCTATGCAGTGGGTCCGATCATTGCCGGCGGCGTGGTGGAGGCCATCGGCTTCACGGCCCTCAACTTCCTTATCGCCTTCTCCAACCTGGCCTATGTGCCCGTGCTGCGCAAGCTGCGCAACATCTACGACTTTAAGCCCTTCGAGAACGAGGCCAATATCCTGATGCAGGACCCGCCGAACAAGGAGTACCAGACTTATGTCATGCACGACCAGAAGCCGGTGGAGGGCGGTGTAAAGAACCACCTGGAATACGGGCAGCAGTACCAGCAGGAGCAGGAGACCAATCTGGATGACCAGCAGTACGACTACCAGCAGCAGCAGGGATACCAGCAATCGGGTGGTTATCAGCAAGATCAAGGCTATCAGCCGGGATACCAGGAGCAGGGAGGCAGCTATGCCAGCCAGGGACAGCCCCGAGTGGCCAATCCATTCCAGCAACAGCAGCAACAACAACAGCAGCAGCAACCGCAGAGCAGAGGTCCTGGCGGACCCGCGAATCCCTTTAGGCAAGGATTTTAAACTGTTGCCCAGTCTTAAACCGTGTTCTTTTGCACATCTCCATGTGCATTTCGTTCGATTATATCCGTTGAACAAATGACCTATATAGTATATATATAATCTACACAAAACACATATACCTACATATACATAAAAATAGTATAATAGACATATAGGCAAGTGGTACGTACACTATAACGAGCATAACATGCAGATAGTTAATACAGCAGCTAGTTAATGCCTTGCACTGCACCAATTTTTGTATTATACACGAAATGTTGAAGCAACTAATTAAAATCGGTGATGGGAAGGGTACACTTTGGTTAACCTGGGGTACAGGGGGATATATTATATTAAAGAACTTCAAGATCCAATTAGAACAAGAGGTTCCTTATTAATTTTTTAAGATTAATAGTTTAGGAGAGATGGATTTGTAATTAAAAGTAAAATATTTAAATCAATACTTTTGAAAACCAAATAATAGTAGAAAAAGTGTCGGCATTGCAACTTTCATTAAAATTCAGACAAGAATACTTATTTAAATACACCGAAACTTATAGATCTCTGCACCCTGGTTAACCAGAAATATAACTACCCATCATCGATCAATCGCATATATGCATCAGCATATATATCAGCTATATAGTGCGATCCGATCGGGTCGCCTATGCCCTATACTCAGTACTCATGCAGCCGTTTTCGTGTCTATCAGTCAGTGAAGCTAGAGAAACCAAAGCTAGGATTAGTTAGTTTCTAAGGGGAAACAGCACTCCCGCCATATCAAATACATATACACCTGCATACTATATACATATATGTATCAGATATTATATACACACGCATACTTAAATATATAGATATATCTATATACAAGGTAGCCCTAAGCGGCGTGGCTGGTCAGCGGACCACTTTCGCCCGAGGACCGCCGTTTCACAGGCAATGGCATTCCATATCGCAGACATATCACAAGTTGCACAAATCAGAACCAACAAAAGGGAAACTCTTTCGGGTGCCATTGTGGCGGTTGCCGGGCCAGAAATGGATTCCCGACCAGCCGGGCTATATGATTTCCGGTTTGCAAAATATTTTCGGTTCAACGTTTGTTAACATAAGACACAACCAAGGTAACGATACATATCAGAGTCTCGATGGCTCGCCTGTTAAAATTACCAAAAGTGATATTACTTATTGCTACTAGTCTACACCTACATACATATACATATATATATATATCGTATCATATCGGTGGCATACACCCTACTTTTAGGCCCGTACATGACCATGTACATAGGTTATATATATATATACATAAAACCAACCAATGGAAACAGAGATCATGTTTCATATTTACCTACCAATCAATTATTATTTGCTTGTTGACTCTATGAGCAAATCGGGCGGACCGCCGATCAGGTGGGACCGCCGCCATAGTAGATCTTCGATAGCATAGCATATATATAAATGTGTGTACCTTGTCTATAAGATAAAGAGATAAAAACTATGGATAACGATTAATACAGTACGATATTTTTGATTCGTTTCGACTGCACACCACTTTTTGAGGGCCGTTTACGGCCCCTATATATTATACACTTTTTAGCTGGATCTCGAAAGATATTTATTATATATATATATTTATATTCATATAAGTCAACTGATCTTTTGTATACAACTAAACATGCGTATATGGATGTCAGGGGAAGATAAGAGGTAGCTATGTGTAAATTTGTCAGTTATTTACGAGTATATATATCACAGACTCTCAGCATCCGTGAACATATCAGTGAAACGGCCATTTCGGAACTAGAAATTTAACTAGAAAGAATGAGAACATGTGTATCTTATGAATTACTAAAGCAATTTACAGAAATGCACTTATTTCGGAATAGTTATTATAATTTATTCACTCATAATATATTTATATTATGAATATTTTTAATATTATGTTTCTCTTAACGAACCCAGCAAAACAAAATTGTTGTCTGTTTCTAAGGTTTGCTTGGTTTATACTTTGTTTTCTTAGTCAAAATCTAAGTGTTTTCACGTTCTTAATTTTTATAATTTTATTATTTTTAGATTTACTAATTAAAAGAAATTTTTATAAGTCAATACTCACATTACACTCAAAATACTTACAAAAAAATTACGGAAAAACTATAGAAATACTCTTAGCTATAATATGAATTAAACTCATGAAAAAATCTCCCATCAAATGTATCAATTAAAACGAAGGACAGGTGACGACGAGGCGAAAGGATAAAAGTGTTAAAGCAACCTACATATATATGAGAAGCAAAAGCATAAAACCAGAACAATTAATATAGTCAATAAAAAGCATATATATCATTATGTAACATATTATAAATAGAAAGTTTATTTAAGTAGCTAACAATAGAATTTTAAATAAGAAGTAACCGAAACATAAATAAACTTAATGAAACCTCAAGAAAGCAATATTTATTTAAGTTTCATCTAAAAAAACCAACCCTGTAAAGTCTTCAAAATACAAAAAGTTCCCTTCCTTAAATTCTTAAATTATGATATTTAATAAATTTCAACTTCATAGGGCTTTCAGGGCTGGATGTAGATAGATGTTACATTAAATTTCTGGCCGTCAAGATTTCAATAGATTTTAACCAAAGTTTGGTAGAGCGCAACATGTATATGAATCTTCCAGTTTGGGTTTTATAATTATATTATTATCTACAGCTAAGAAATAACCATCACATAATATAGTCAAGGAGCAGGATAAAGGATCCTCAGCAGTGTGCCGGCAATGTGTAATAACGTACTAAAGAATTAAGAGCAAATGGAACGCATAAACTAGATGTGTTACTAAGAAAACGATGTATGATAAAATATATATAAATGAGAATATATATACATTTATGAAATGAATTACAAAACACGATAGCAGTTAATTGAATGGTTATACTCGGCGTATTACAAGTGTTGAATGTTCAATATAGCATTATATATGAATTATGAATTATTAAACGCTATGGATAATTAATTAATGAAAAAACAAATTAATTTTAATATCTTACAATTACTATATGATATAGGGGACTTTACCTTACCGATGGTAGCACACAGGCTTGAATAATTTCATATTTTTTCATATGAGAAATAATATTGACGATGCAGATGCCTCTCTCCGACAGTTTCTATGTGTTGTGCGTGTGAAGAAACGTTTTAGAAAATTTTAATTGTAAACCCTAGATGAAATATAATGAGTTTGTAAGTGAAGACCCCAAAGAGTTCAGTTTTGTATTGTATATAAGGCATATATATTGTTAGTTTCGATGAAAGTCAGAGTCAAAGTCAAAGTGTTTCAAGTACATTTACATATTATAGAGTACAGAGCTAAATTAATACAAAAAGTCTTTGCAACTTTGTTTCGGCTAATGTTATAGACGTTTGTGTTACATATTTAAACAATAATTATTATTACGATAAACAGTGGAAATTATTATAAAAAAATAAGCAAAACCAGAAGCAAAGAAAACCTATACCTACAATTTTAGCCAGTATCCAAAATCCCAGTTCTGTGACGTTGCTGTTCAATTTCCAAGTCTATCCATCTATATTCTAAACGTAATTATGTTTGTATCTGAATATCACAACGTTCTGCTATCCCCAAAAACTAAACAAAAACCTAAAACAATACAAATTAAGTGCTATGCATATAAAAAACACGAGTGCGTATATCGATGTTCGATGACTTTACATAGCTAGAGCCAAAATATCCTCAATAATCAAATGTATACTATACGAGATGGCAAATAATCAGGAACTGCCTCGGCCAGCCGAGCCTTAAAAGTATATGTATCCTTGAAATTCACAGAGCTTACACAGAATTCAAGCTATAAACCAGCGAAAAAGCTAAAATAAACCAAACTCTTACTCTGTAACTTCAAGGATATGCAGCTAAACAAACACACAACTCCCACATCGGTCTATGAATTTATAAATGTATTTGAACTGCATCGAGAGAGAATTTCAAATTACAGATGCCAGGTTGCAGATACATTTACACAGGCAATGTTATGAATATTGAATCGAAATTTAACCGAACGTACGAGTATATAAAGCATAACACGCATACAGATGATATTGGCATGAGCTATAGAGGAACGATAATGCATTATTACAGAGCCACACACACACCCCAAACACACCCACAGCCACACAGGAACAAACATAACACACACAACAAACAAAAAGAAAAAAACATGTACTATTGAAATATAATTGTTAACCATGAAAAAAAAACAATGTCTTTTAATGGAGAGTGACAGATTGTCCGATCTATTAATGATTAATGCAATTAATTAGCTAATGTTTGGGGGGCGAACGAAGGATAAAAATCTGGTATATAGAACGGTATGTGACCAGGTGGCAAGGAAACTTTTCCATCTCCCTTAGTTTTCCAGGGGGGAGGTTACATCATGTGCTTGCCAAGGCTGGGGGGATGTGCGTGCCCTGGGGCCAGAAATTTGTGTGGAAAATGATTTTATGTTTGCAATTTCCATTAGCAACTTTGGCCTGAGTCACGAACAGCCACAGCCGGAGGCTGGGCAAAAAGTTTCCCTCTTTATATTTACGGGGAGGATGGCCTCAGGCACAGGGCCAGATACAAACAACCGCAAAAAGGGAAGGTGGATCTGGGAACACTTCGTGTAGGTATCTTGTGTGTATCTACCAAAAATATACACAGCTTAACCGCAAGCCGCAACCTAAGGCCAAGTCAGCCAAATCAGCAGGAATCCCCCAAGTTGCAATCTCCGTCACAATACGTAAGCAATTTACGCTTTCCGCTTGTTTCAATCCGAACAATTACTGGAATTTTCAATGCCTCAATGCGGCAGTTAATTTGGGTTTGGCGCACAAAAGTATGCTAGGTATTTGCGGCGGAAAGAAGGAAAATAACGGTAACGAGAAGGACCAAAAGCGCAACGTAGACGGCAAGTGGACGCCGTGAAACAACAGCACTAAGACCGTAAAGGATTTACGGCTCAATTGCGATGTGCGTGCGACGGGACATGCCCACCTCCTCCTCCTCCCCCCCAGCATCCAATTCCGATCCACCCTTGAATGGAATAAAGCCCTTTACGAGCAGCCAAAGCCGAACAAAAGAAGGAAACTCATTCAGTCGCCCATTCATCGCTTGTTCCGACATCCGACAATGTTATGACCCCGGCAGCATCCCATACACGCAAACAATTTTATACGAGTCCTTAAATTATAAAATACCATTGCAAATATTTAAGTTAAAGTTTAATCTATATATTTAATGTGAATTATTTATATTTCTATCCAAACATTTAAGTTTCATTGAATTTTTTGCTAAATTCAATGTATCAAAGTGTACTTTGAGCGCTATATCTTTGTGGCTACATTATGTTATATTGAACTTTTGTCTTAATGTCCTTCTTGTGCCTCTCTTATATTATAAAATTTCTTTCTGTGCAGTTGCCACCACTGCCTAGACTGGTACCAGTCCTGGTTTGCGGTTGGGGTCCCAATACCAATCCCAGTTCCCGCTCCCGGAATCCGTAGGCCAGCTTGTTCGACGGGTGTTTTATGTATTCGCACCGTGTCGCGCCCCGCTCCGCCTCCTTGGGGTGCGGATTTGTTTTGCCTTTTTAAATTCTTCTCCTTCATTTGCGCCGGTTGCTGGCATCTGCTATTCGGGGCTGGTTCTAATGAGCCACGCTCCCAGGGTCCTGGGGTTGACTGTTGCTAAATTGGAATCATGCCGGCAGATGAAACATTATTTTTCATTGGGATTACATTTTTATCGCATTGTCTGACAGGCGGCAGCAGTTGGGTGTCGCCGCAGCGCCTTCCGCCTCCCCGAATGCCCTGAAATCGAGCGTGATTTTTGCAGCTTAATAATGAGCCCTCGGTTTACTGACGCGTTTTATTGGCCAGCGTTTAAAGTAGGGGCGTGTTGGCCATAAGCCTGCGGAATCTTGCCTGTTAATGTGCGAAATGTCCTCGGCGTTTGCTCTCCCATCAGCATCATCATCATCCCATAAATTCAGTCATTATAATCAAAACATACATATATCGATCCGAAACCGAAATCGAATCATGAGTTGGCACAAAAACTGACAGATACGAGCAAATTGAAGCAGACACTCCAGGGGGAAAGGGGAAAATCCATTTCTTGGGGGTAAGTCCGGAGCCGGAAGTCCACAGAATCTGCCCCTGTAATGGTGCATGCATATCTGATTAGCCAGACGGCTGTCATCCTAATCAGAAGTCCTGGCCATCAATCAATCAATTGGAAAAGCGTCTCTGCCAATGCATATAATTGAAGGTGATGTGGCGGCTTAGTCCGATTTTAGCAGCATGATGTTGATTTTTAAAGAATAATAACAATGGACAATAAAACAGGATACACGAGCCAAACACTAATTCTAGAAAGTTTAAAACGGTTATGTTTAATTTGTCATAAAACGCATTAAAACAATTCCAGCAGTTCATAATGGAATTTATAAATTTCGGGAAATAAAGCTAACTTCCAGAAGCCGAAAAATAGTTAGCCAAAAACATGGATTCGAATATGCCATTTTTATGGGTAAATCACAGTTTTTGAAATATCATAACTCAGCCAAAACTACATTAATTTCGATTTGGAAAGCTTTCCTGTGCTAATTTTTATAGGAATATCAAATCTGCATACTCAGTTTTAAAATTAAAACATATGAATTTTTTGGTCAAATTTTGACAAATTTAATGATATAAAATTATAAAAATTTGCAAAAAAATTTCCAATTTTTTTTTGTCAAGCAAACATTTCAGATCGACTCGCCTGTTGATGCTGATCAAGAATATATATGATTTGTAGGGTCGGAAATGACTCCTTCGCCAATTATAACCAAGAACACCTAAAATATGTTCCTTATATGTAGGAACTATAAATCAATATTTTTATTTGATCATTTTTTGTAAAAAATCAAGTTTTTCAAATATCATAACTAAGCCAAAAGTGTATTAATTTCAGTCCGGAAAGCAGATCTGTACTTTTTTTTATATATTTATATATTGTTATATATTTAAAATTACTCAAATTATAATACCCTGGCCAAATATGGGTACGTTATTAGAAAGATGTTTCCAATTTAAAGAAATAATAAATCATCAGGTGTGCCCCAAAAATCTCAAGGGTTTATAAATCGCATTAAAGGTGTCTGAAAGAAAGCAATGATTTATTTCAATCTATGATTGCTTTTGGGGAAACCTCTAACGTGAAATAGCTTTGAGTTAAAGGAAATTCCCCTGACAATTCTTATGCTATCGCATATACTTTTAATATAATACATTGATTTAATACATAATAATGTTTTTAAATACACACAGGCCACTCTACAGCTAGTTTTAAAATAAACGAAGGAATTATACTTAATTTTAATGTTTTGTTATCTATATGACATATATATAAACCCTTATAGATTTATATTTAATGTTAGAATTTATATATAATATTAGAGCGAGCTTGTTTTGACCTCGCTTATACTCCAGCTTTTTTTCTATTATTAAAGGAAAATATGACAGACTTTTCCAACTTTGAGCAAACGAACTTGCGACCGTCATTTATATTCATTTACAATGTTTTTCTCATTTTCCGTTTCCGGCTGGGCAGCGGAATACTTCCTAATTGGAATTCATCTTTAAACATCAAAGTGAAACATGGTATGCGTTTCCCTTAACTTTTTGTAAATTGATATTTGCTTTATTAAGCGAGCGACATTAGCCTCAACTTTAAGGCACGAGCAACCCCCTGGGTCGAGGTTTAATTACTTAATTTGAATTTCTCAACAACGCTCGGCCTAATACAATTTATTACACTTTCCAGAGATCGCCAGAGATGGGTTTACTCCGGACAGGTTGCAGTGTTGTGGTTGCTCCGGCAGAGACAACAATAGAGCGGAGGTCCAAATTGCCGCCACGTGACTCCATTGTGTGATTACCTCCGCCAGCTAGTTGCCCTCGTTGGTGGGTTTGTTGGGGGCATCTTTAGTGAGATAATGAAAAAAGGATAATAAATTGCATTAAATTTGACATCGTTGTGGGAGCGACGCGTGCCACTCCCCAAACCTTATTCCTTTAGCAAAAAGGGAGTCCTGTTTGCCTGTTTCTGGTCGTTATTCCTTTCATCCCGATTGCCATAGAATAACTTTTATTAATAACATTATGATTGTCCTTCCTCTAAAGCTTTTCAATTCATGAGAGGGGGAAGAGCTTCAAAGCAGTCAATGCTTTGACACTGAAGTGTCCTTCCCTTCAAGTGGCCGGCAATTTAGATAAGAGTTTTACTATTATTATTGGTATTAATGAAATTTAATAAGCTTTAACCTTGTAGTTGCCCTGAAAATGTTTCAAGATTTCAGAGTTCTTTTTGCACAAAAAGTAATGCAAGCTCAATCAAATTTTCTACGAATATTTCTCTTTGTTCCTTATTGATAAATAAAGATGGAGCTTTGTGAAATTGTCTTTGAAAGGTGGACAATAACAACCCATCACTCAGACCTCTCCAGGCCACGTAAACTGAAACCGGAAATTCGAGCTACTCGGGCGCAATGGCAACCGGAAGTGCTTATACAGTTGAATTACAGCAATGACAGCTAAAGTTTTTATGTGCCTGTCAGGATACACACTCATACACATGTACGAGGCGATGGACAGCCGACACAGGAAATGAGCGGGGCTTTAAGCCCGAGAGTTTTCAGTTTCCGCTGCCAAATTTTATTGCATTCTCTTTCCAGGCCGGAAGCCTGGCCAAGACAATAAATGGCAAACTTGCACGAATTTGTAGAAATCTTTTGGGAAGACGATAAATGGTTTTGGGTCACTTTGGCAGCAGTAATTTGAACTATGCAACTGAAGATAAGGGAAATCAAATCAAGGGTTGGCTTAGCCATTGAATTCTCCATGACGCATGGGCTATACATCTTGGTTTGGTTTTTTTTTGGGGGGGCTGTCACTCAATCGATAAGGGTATAGGTATGGGTATAGGTATTTTTTCGGATACCGCTGGCATCGGCAACGACAGCACTTGAGGCGGCTGACAGTGATTAACTAGTCTAACGATTCTAACAAATTACTCAACAATTTAATTTGGTGTTCAACAAGTGGTTAATCAGCGATCGTTGCGTCGCATTTTGCTTGTTTTCTTTGTTCCTCTAGGATGGAAAGACTCGATTCTGTCGATTCCGAAGAAATGGCTCTCCACCGCCGAGTCCGTGGACGAATTTGGATTCCCTGACGTGAGTACAAATTGATTAAACAACAAAATTCGAATTTCCTACTCTTTTCCTCCAACAAATATTTACCCGAGGGCTACTTGAATAATTCAAAGACAAACACACACACAGAGAGACTAATCCTGTTGTTATAATTACAAATGCAAATAACGAGGCGGGCTTTTGTATGGCAACGTCCTGGCAACAACCTGCCAGGGCTTTTGCCGGGCAAACAAACCTGATAAACCAACCTAAGCCCAACGCCCCGTCTCACACTCACCTGCAAAAAGAGCACAGCAGCCCGGGGAACAACCCCCAAAAAGGGCCGAGTTAGACATCAAAATTGTAAAGGGGATACCGCTGACAAGGACACAACAACTGACAGGCGGCAGGATATTGGGTATACAAAAAAAAAAAAGATTTCAGTCGCTTTGAAAGCGGAGAAACAGGAAAACACTGAAAGTCAATGACATGTTGACACTTTTAACGTTACTACGGAATTTTTGTTAAGTGCAAAATTGTGTTTTTACCAGCAGGTAGACCATACAAAGGTCGGCATTTAAATATTTATTTTTAGCTACAAGTTATTCTTGAAAAATAATATATATTATATTTTGCTTTTCAATTTTCTTACTTTAACCTGCACCTATAAATGCAGAATGGAATGCATACACCAAACCCACGGGGGAATTCACACAACTCAGTTCTCAATTAAAGTTTTCCAAATAAAAATAGAGGGTGGCTAGGAAAAATGTCAAGGAGCCGGAGGACAATGTCAGATTCAAGTATTGCCATTTCCCTTTTTTTTGTGATTTGAAATTCAGTTCCCAAGGGCATAAACTTGTGTTGTTGCGTTGAGGGAAACTTTCCATTCAACGCTCGATAATGCCATGCATACAAATGAGGAAAATGGGGGAAAATTTGGGGAAAGCCCTGGCATAGCCAAGAGTGTCTAAGATGAGTGGATGTGAAATAAAATTAAATTTACAAACCGGCAACCCTTTTTTTTTCTTCTTCCCTTTCGGTACAGACTCTACCCAAGGTGCCCGTACCGCCGCTAGATGAGACGATGGCCGACTATATACGCGCCCTGGAGCCGATCACCACGCCGGCCCAGCTGGAGCGGACCAAGGAGCTCATCCGGCAGTTCACGGATCCCCAGGGCATTGGACCACGACTGCATCAATATCTGCTGGACAGGCGTGAAACGGAAGACAATTGGGTGAGCACATTAAGTTATATATATTATTTATTTAGAATTATATATAATTTAGGAATTTGGTAAACTTTGAATAACACTTTTTATTCATTGTTATTGTTTATTGTTCCTTTCAAGGACTTTGTTTAATTAAAAGAGAATTTGTAAAATGCATGATATATTTCATTCCAAGTGCGGTTAACACTTTATTCAGCCAAAAATTCTGGGTTTGGATGCGATCGTCTCGTCTCGTCTGGAGTTTACTTGGCGGTGGGCGCCTCGGTGGCCACTGGGGGTCCGTTGTTGATGATCGGAGCGGTGGGCACAGGCGTCACCGGAGTGGGCACATTGTCGTCATTGGGAGACGGAGGCTGTGGCACAAAGATGGTGGTGCCCGAGGGTGTGATGATGCCGTCGCTGCTGGTTGAGCTGGAGCCGTCCGAAGGACCCTCGGTGGGGGGCATGGGCACACCCGAGGTGGTGTTATCACTGGGTGGAGCCTGAGTGGTGGTAGTGGAGGAGGATCCTGGAGCCTCCGTGGTCGTGGTGGTAGTGGTAGTAGTAGTAGTCGTTGTGGTCGAAGTAGTTGTGGGTTCATCTGCTATGGCCACGCAGCTGGCATTGAAGGGCAGGCCCGCGCATTGGGTGGTCGGAAGGTAGGTGTCGCAGGGCTGGCAGTTCTGCATCACATAGCTGAAGTACTGGTTATTGGGACAGGTGGTCAGGGTGGTGGTGAACGTGCTGCCACTCCCGGAGCACTGATAGTAGGTCTGGGCATTGACGTAGTTCGGCAGCTTGACGGTGGGTGTCGGACAGGAGAGAGGATCGATCTTTTCCTGGTACTGGGGCGTCCTCGAGCACTGCAAGTAAGTCTGGGCGTTGACAGCCACCAGAGCGGCGAAGAGCACAAAGATCACTTTGGGTCAAGGAGGAGGAAGAGAAGAATCATCATTAGTTAGGGGCTACATCCTGGCTGCATCCGCTTGGGGGGACCGCTTTGCTTACCGGCTTTCATGTTGGCTACTGTTAGTTTCGGGCTAATTGCGAGACTGAGGGAGATTGCGTCTGGCTGCTAACTCGGCTCACCGATCACTGATGCACTCCAGCCGGCTCCAAAGCCTTTTTATGCCTCCGTGGGCCATGTCAGACACGTTTAATCAGCCGCTGCTAGATTAATTCGTGTCTTGTCGGTCGGGGTGCGAAATTGAAATCAGCAATGCCAAACGCAACCATCGAACCGCTCCTAATTGCGCCTTAGACTCGCGTGAGGGCGGCCCCGAACTTCTTCGGGTAATCTCGCCCAGATAACACTATGGGCGGAAACTATTCCGAATGGAGACTAGGAACTAGGAACCTCTCATTCCAAATGTGTCATGTAAATTAGCATGGCCGCTAGATCATCTCCGGCAGCAATGACTTCATTGAGTTTTCTACCGAATTGAAATTCTCGGCACTTTATCTTTTGGCATTCAGATAGCAGCCAAAAAAAACTTTAGAACATCATCAGAATGTTGGGGAACCACGGTCTTGGAGTGCTTAAAGAGGGTGATGTTAATTCTTGAATATCTGGGGAAGCCTTAACAACTTATTTATTATTGGCTGCTAGTGTGTAGCCGGAAGTAATTTACAAAATATTTTGGTGTCGGTCTGTAATCTTCGTAAATGTTGAGGTCTGTCAGAGCAACTATATCCGATGAAGGATTCTGAAATATCTGATTGTCTCGACAATATCTGTATAGAGTATAGAGTTTCGTTCTTAATTACATAAGTATCAAGATCTTGTTAGGAAGATTCCATTCATACTATAATGTATACATTCTATTTGTTACTTTAATATTATGACAAAGTCGTTAATTATTCATATCTCTCCCATTAACAACTAGGAATAACCCAATAGTTATTCGGTTCTGACATTTTGCTCCTATCTGTGCCTCACCTTTTCCTTATAATTTTACATTATCGGAATCGGATGTCAGCTTTGGTGTTGTTGGTGGGGCATATCAAAATATTCCGTAAATAACAAGAAATCGCAATCACTTAACATTTTTTTGGACCCTCTACCTCTACCTCGATCTCTTCCCCTGCCGCGATAAGGAAGCTCTGGAAACAACAAGCCTATTCCCGATACCGTTCCCCACACTGAGAAATATAGAAGAAAGTCATTGCCGCCTTCAAGTTAGATATTTAATTACTTTAAGTTGCTATTTAGAGTAGAGAATGGCATTCCGCTTGCTTTAGGATGGCGATCTGTGTCGAGATTTGGATTTAGAGTGGAATTGTGGTTCTTAGGCGGAGGCTGGCTTCTTCTGGGCCTTGCTAGGAGGCGTGGGCTTCTTGGCGGCCTTGGCTGGAGTGGGAGGAGCGGGCTTCTTGGCAGCAGCCACGGGCTTCTTGGGAGCAGCAGCGGTGGACTTGGCGGGCACCGGAACCGTGGGCTTCTTGTGGGGCACAGGGATGGGACGCTTGCCAGCATGAGGCACGGGCTTGGCCACATCAACGATGGCTGGCTCCGGAGCAGGGGTGGCTGGAACGGGGAGAGCCTCCTCCTCCTCCTCGGGCTGGTGTTCGTGGTGGTTTCCGTGATGCTCGTGGTGCTCGTGGGTCTCATGGATCTCGGACTCATGCTGCGAGTGGCCATTGATCATTGGCGGTTCCTCATCGATCGTGTGCATGGTGATGGGAGCCTCGGTGGGCAGGACGTCCATGGGTGGGGCTGGGATGTAGTGAGCGGGCGTGGCGCACTGCTGCAGGACGAAGGTGAAGAGCTCGCCGGGAGGACAATGGACGGTCAATTGGTCACGATACACGCCCTGGCAGACATAGTACTCCGAGTTGCTGTGGTAGCTGGGCCAGCGGATGCCGATCTCGTTGCGAGTGCACTGCAGCTTGTAGTCCATGCGGGCCTGGCTCAAAGCCAGCAGGCTCAAAAGGGTCAAGGCGAACACTGTAAAAGGATCGAGAAAGTATTATTTATATTTCTCGGAAAAGATCCTCTTCTACCTTTCATATTGTTGCTGGGTCCGTTGGTTATCCGTGAATGTTCAGGGGAACTGTGATACTGCTCTTTCAGCCGACCAATTGCCATTATTTATACCAGTCCCATAGCATCTTGCTATCAGCGATCAAGTTTCTGGTATCTGCGATCTTTCAGGTGATTTTTTCCACTGATGATAGGCCGCTCCCAAAAATGTGGTTCCAAAATTGTAGCTAATTGAATTTGTGTCGAACAAGTAAAGAGGTGGATCCTCTAACAACATTTTCATGTAGCGCCCTTGCCAAAAATTATTTCTAGACATAATCAAGGCCCAAAAAAATGTTAAGAACTCCTTTCTAGCAAGTTTTTCAAATGAAATATAGCTTAAATCTTCGGTTAAGTTATTATAATTTTAATCTTATCATATAATATATGACTCTAAGTTTTTCATAAATCAATAAAGTTGATCCTTGAATCTATCCCCAGGCCTACCATTACTGGCTAAACGACATGTACATGAACATCCGTATCCCCTTGCCGATTAATTCGAATCCTGGCATGGTGTTTCCGCCGCGTCGCTTTAAGACAGTCCACGATGTGGCCCACTTTGCCGCCCGGCTGCTGGATGGCCTACTGAGTCACCGCGAGATGCTGGACAGCGGAGAGCTACCCTTGGAGCGGGCCGCCTCCCGGGAGAAGAACCAACCGTTGTGCATGGCTCAGTACTATCGCCTGCTTGGGTCCTGCCGTCGTCCTGGCGTGGAGCGTGACTCCCAGTACCTGCCGTCGCGGGAGCGATTGGCCGACGAGGATCGTCATGTGGTCGTGTTCTGCCGCAACCAGATGTACTGTGTGGTCCTGCAGGCCAGCGATAGGGGAAAGCTGTCAGAGAGCGAGATTGCCTCCCAGATCCTGTACGTCCTAAGCGATGCGCCCTGTCTGCCCGCCAAGCCGGCGGCTGTGGGTCTGCTAACCGCCGAGCCGAGGAGCCGCTGGGCTTTGGATCGCGAGATGCTGCAACAGGATGAGCAGAATCATCGCAATCTCGAGCTAATTGAGACCGCCCAGGTGGTGCTGTGTCTGGACGAGCCGCTGGGCGTAAACTTCAATGCACGCGGCTTCACCGGTGCCACGCCCTCTGTCCACAGCGCTGGGGATCGGGACGAGACGAACATGGCCCATGAGATGATCCATGGCGGTGGCAGCGAGTACAACTCTGGGAATCGGTGGTTCGACAAAACCATGCAGCTCATCATCTGCACCGATGGCACCTGGGGTCTGTGCTACGAACACTCCACCTCCGAGGGCATAGCTCCGGTCCAGTTGCTGGAAAAGATCTACAAGAAGATCGAAGAGCACCCGGATGAGGATACTGGCTTGCCCCAGCACCATCTGCCGCCACCGGAGCGCCTGGAGTGGCACATCAGTCCGCAGATACAGGCGCGATTCGGCCAGGCTTGCCAGAGCGTGGACAAGGCCATTGACAACCTGGATTTCTATGTGTACCGCTACCAGGGCTATGGCAAGACCTTCATCAAGTCCTGCCAGGTCAGTCCGGATGTGTACATCCAGTTGGCCCTGCAATTGGCCCACTATAAGCTCTATGGCCGCCTGGTGGCCACCTACGAGAGTGCGTCCACTCGGAGATTCCTGCTTGTGAGTTGGATATGCTTTTGAATACCAGAACTAGTTGAGAATTTACTACTTATCTTTGGCAGGGTCGCGTGGACTGCATTAGGGCCGCCAGTACGGAGGCCTTGGAGTGGGCCAAGGCCATGTGCCAAGGCGAGGGCGCCAATGTTCCCCTGGAAAGCGATCGCGAGGATGAGGAGGAGTCACGCAAGGTCAAGTTTAGCATTTACAGTGTGGGTAGTCCGACGTATAATACCCACATCCATGGGAACAAGTAGCTTATCTCTGCTCCCACCCACAGAAGGACCACCTGCGTGAGCTTTTCCGATGCGCCGTCGCCCGCCAGACGGAGGTGATGGTAAAGAACATCCTGGGCAATGGCATCGACATTCCACTCCTGGGTCTACGGGAGGCCAGTGTGGACGTCACCGGCGAGATGCATGAGCTGTTCAAGGACGAGTCCTACAATATCTCGCAGTGCTTCCTGCTCTCCACCAGTCAGGTAGTAAAGGGCCGGCAGCTGGAGATCTCAGCCAAGTGGCTCCTTATCACCATGCACTGTCTTGCACTGATATTTCACCTCTGCACCACTTAATCCTAATTCTTGCACCACAGCACAAACCATTATGCACTGACCAGCGGCACCGGTATGCCAGGTATCTGCTAAAAACCACTATAATATATATTCTTCGATATTATCCAGAGGATAGTCAAGGATTCTTCTAATATCTTACTCGAAACAACTCCCAAACAGGTGGCCTGCAGCACGGACAGCTTTATGGGCTATGGACCGGTGACGCCCCGCGGCTACGGATGCTCCTACAATCCGCAGCCGGAGCAGATCGTCTTCTGCGTGTCGGCCTTCTATGCCTGCGAGGATACGAGTGCCTCGCGCTATGCCAAGTCGCTGAAGGAATCGCTGGACATAATGCGAGACCTCCTGCAGAACTAGACGCACTCCGATCCTTGATCATCGGAACAATAAACATATCAGTAAATGTACCTTGTAGCAGGTTAGCGAACGAATCTAAGTAAGTGTAACTAGCGACCGCCCGGGCGTTTCATATGTGACCAAGCACCACCAAGCGAGCCACCCCCAACGAGGGTGGGAGATCCAGGAAGGAGGATGAGGACGATAACGAAAATCGGAATCGAAAACTAATGTCAATCACTACCATGTTGAGACAGAACTATAAACGCAACCCATTCGCTTTACATATCCGTTTACCCCCCAAAAAGGTACCCCCAAGTAGTTGAAAAAATATAGGGCAACTTTAGTCAATTAAATGTTTTAGAGCCATTTTATGCGCCAACTGTTAGTGCTGTTATATCTGAGTGTGTTACTTGTGCAATATCAAAATATATAAATATATATCGGGGAAACCGAATTAGCTGAGCTTACACCTTGTTTAACCCCCACTAATGCGATGGTATGACACTGTATAACATCTTGTTAGAACCTTAAAGAGGAAACTTTACATATATGGACTATATTTTTCACATATATATCGGAAAGTTTGAATATGTTATGTTAATATGTTATTATTACTCTCTAACTTGTATTATCCATATTTAGATTTCTTTTAATATTTGAAATATCTGAAAATGGTTGCTTTCGAATCCTGTTAATTATAAATTATTAACGTTTAAAAATGCAGTGTCATACCCGTATAACCACGTCTTTAACTCGAAAGAAACCCCACAAGTATGCAATACTTTATGTTTCAAGTGTTGAGTTTAAAATTCTTTATATATAAAAAAATGTTATAAAAGATACTATAGCGAAAGCTAAAGCTAAACAACACAGGAAAATATACTAAAAGTTAAAGCCCCCTTTGCTGGTTACTGCAATTTCGTTGCTGTTCGTTTGAGAAATTATTAAAAAATTATAAACTACATACTATATAGTGTCTGTTGAGATGTTTCCATATATATAATCGTGTTTTAGAGAGCAAATGGTATACCGTAACTAAGGGCTTTTTGGATGGCATATATATACATACAACCCTGAATTAGACAGAAACTTAGAGGATTATATATATATATATATCTAGAGAAATCATGTACGCGTATAGACTTGAGACGTAACAATACATATCAGTAAATTTACATAAATCCTCGGGAAGGGAGGTAGAGGGATATAACTATATATATATATATGTTTGTCTGTTCAAACCGTTAGTGAAATGTATATGTTTCGGTAGTGATTGGAGGCTATCAATATTCTACAAGAGTGTTTACATAAATATTATATACGTATGTTATTTACAAGAGAAATTATATATGAGAAACGTTAAAGGACAACCAGATACATAATAACATTATAAATAAAACTAGTTGCTGTGTTCATTGTTGCTATATATGTATGAGTATCTTCTAAACTGTTAACCGATCTATGTATCTATCCTGTATTCGATCTGTGTACCATTACGTTACCTTAACCTTACCGTTCGGTTTGTCGTTAAGTTTGACTTGTTTACAATAAATGTATGCAAAATAATCACCAAACAAATAAAAATAAAATGAAATGCATTGCGAACCAAGACCGGAGCATTATTCCTGACCTACAAATGATCTGGCCCTGGGAATTATAGTAAATATACTGTTTTTTTATATAGCCTTTACCTTGGGTAATTTTGTATGTGTCATTTACTTTGGTGGCTATTTCCAAGAATAGATAACCCTTCTTCCGCTTAAGAAAATTTACCCAAAATCCAGCTCATCGGTGGCGCAGTTCTTCATATATCCAAGTGGTAGTGCGCCGATAAGATAGATATATTGGTTTCCAAAAATTAATTAATATTTAAAATAGAGATTATCCCCATGGCCACATACTGCTGCCCATAAAAACCCCCACCAGCTGTCGTCTGGCCAACAGTCTTTGCGAATCCGTCAACATGAAATGTAAGTAGAACCAAGGTGACACCTCTGGCTATAACCATGGACTAACCGCCTTCAATCCGTTGGCAGACTTCAACTTGCTGCTCAGCCTCTGCCTGGCATTCATGCTGTGCACCTCGTGGGTCTCAGCTTTCTCCAGTCTGGCCCCTCCGGACCCAACCCCGCCAATTGGCAATCCCCCGATGGCGACGCAGGCACTGGCTTCCCGGGACCCCCGCAGGCGGCACCCACCGAGGCCATGCCCGAGGTCAGCACCGAGTACCCACTGTACGGTGTTTAGGGAGGCATCTTCGCTGATCTTTGATTTGTGAATTAAAAGCTAAACTGCAATTACAATTAGTTACGCATTAAATGACTTGGGATACGGTATGTTGACAGGCTTGTGTCTTTACTTTATACGGGGTATATATTTTGTCCAACATAAAACTAGGCGTGGCCATTAAAATAATCGACATTCACATAATTTAGACACTAAACAAAGTGCCCACCGCTCTGCATATGCATCATATGCAGTGGTGTGCTAAGTAAAACAACAAACGGAGGCTTCCGGGTGAGCTCAGTCACCAGCCAGGACACAGGACAATTAACTCGTAGCTACATTCCGCCTAAAGGAGCCTCGCACCTGCATCTGCAATTGCTCGCCGCTGCATTCGTCTCGACCGTACTATAAGTAGAAATAAATCGATGATAATATAGATTAGAAAGTATATCAAGTGAAAACATATCGAAATATATCAGAGAAATTTTATTGAGCAATGTTACAATATACTTATGTGTGGTTCAAGACTGATTTCGATATATCTTTAAACTTACCTTGCAAAAATTTTGCTCCAGCAGCTCCATGGCCGTCAAACGATTCTTGGGATCATGTTGCAGACAGTGATCAATGAAGTCGTGTCCTTCTTGGGAAAGACTTTCCGGTGCCTGCGGCTTCTCGCCCATGCCTACTTTGAACATGATCTGGAAATTGGAATCAAACTGGGCCCAAGGACGCTGTAAAGAAAATATAGGTTCATTAAATATAAAGCTTATAAAGACAAGTAAAAGAGCAGTCAGAAATTAATCTAAAATGATGAATTTTTAGGTATTAAAATCATACAATTCCTAAACCCTAATTGCTCCATTACTGTATAAATGAATAACCCAACGTTGTGAAATGTGGTCAGAGCAACGCCAACCCCATCCACCTGTCGAATTTCTTATCTGTAATGCGAAGCACTCACCTTGCCCGAGGCCATCTCGACTACGACACAGCCCACCGACCAGATATCGGCGGCCCTGCCGTGGCCATCGCTATTGGTCTTGGTAAACACCTCCGGCGCCATGTAAGCCTGTGTGCCGACGTAACCCTGCAACTCGCCGGGCACGGTGGTGTGCGCCTGGATCTTAACCGCCGACCCGAAATCGCCCAGCTTAAGGCTGTTGCTGCCGTCCACGAGGAAGATGTTGGCCGTCTTAATGTCGCGATGGACAATGCCGTGTTTGTGTAGCTCTGCAACGCCAGACAGCAGCTGGGCTGTGAAGCGGCGGGCCAAAGCCTCCGGCAAGCCGGCGGTAAGCTCCACCAGCGACTCCAAAGTGCCCTCAGAGCACAGCTCCATGAAGATTAGCAGCTCCTCGCGGTGTACTTCGATGCCATAGTAACGCACCAGATTTTTGTGCTTGATGCCCTCGAGGATCTTCAGCTCTTCGGCCACGTTCTTGAGCGCCCGCGTCTCTCCCGGCTGGATGGCAATCTCCTTCATGGCCATCAACTCCCCCGTGTTGTTGTTCACCGCCGTATAGACCTTGCCGAAGCGTCCCTGGCCGATCTTAATGCCGCGATGCCAGCGGAAGTGAACACTGCGCGCCCTTATGTGCACCTTGTCGCTGGAGTTAAGGGCCTTCACCTGGCCAATGAGACGGCGCTCGCGTAGTCGCTCCTCCAGGTCCAAATCCAAGCGGTTTACGGCATCTCTCACCCTCTCTTGCCGCAAGGCCAGCGGCGTGCCCTCGATGCTGCCCTTTCCTGAGGAGGCGGGCGTCGGCGGTGTCTGTGGCACCAGAAGCCGTAACTCCCCATTGGGACTCCTTTGGCAGGGAGTGTCCACATAGTCGGCACTCTCCACGGAGCTATACGTATTATTAGACTGTTGCAGGAGGTCCTCCTTAAGACTGAATTGCGGATGCAGCAGCTTGTTGTACGGCGGCGACTGCAACGGTGGCGTGTTGGGATTGAGCACCATTCCGGCGGACATGGGCGTCCGGGTGGGCGTTCTTGAGCGCGAAGTGGCCGGCGACGAGGTCTTACGGGTGCGCGGTGAAGCCTTCTTCTTGGCCACCTTCTCAGGCTCTGAGGTGATGCCAATTACGTGTGAAATACAGCGATCCATCTGTTGCTTTAGCTCCTCGAACTGGTGCTCGTCCAAGTGCTGAGTAATCTGTGGGTCGCAGGCAAGAATAAGGAATTCCAGGCCCTGGAAGGCCCAGCGAGGACGCATTCCACGACCCCGCTCACAGCGCTCCATTACGAAAGCCATCCACATTTTGGCGTAGGCAATGATGCCGAGCGCAAGGTCCACAGTATGGGCCCCGCTGTCCTTTTGGTCCATGATCCGTTGCTCAAACAGTCTGATCACATCCTTGTGGTACTCAAATCCGAACTTATAGCCCTGGTGTAGGATCTCCCGGGTGCGGGATAGCACCGCTTGCTTGTCCTGTTCGTCCAGATCACGCATGTTGCTCAGACAACAGCGTCTCTGGACGCCTTGAATGATTGCCGTCAGCTTGTTTCGCACCTCCAAGACATCCTGTTGAAGTAGTTTAAATGCCGCTTTCACATCGGAACAGATGAAGTCGTGCTGCTGATTGGCGACGTCATGCTCATAGTGCTCACGATGAAAGTCCGTTGTCTCCACGTCGCGGCAAAAAGTCTTGGCAAAGAATAGAACCTTGATGGAGCGCTCCCGCTCCACGGTGAGCAGGGATTGCGTCTCTCGACAAATGGTCAGTAGTTGCCACTTAACCTCCTCGTTGTCTTCACTATCGGCTGTTCCCTCGATCTGCTGGTCCAGCTCCACAGTACGTTTAACCAGGCGATCGGAGATATTCCTCAGCAGCTTACTGATGATGCCGCAGAACTTCTGCGAGGCCAGTGTGTGCATGCCCTTGATCATGGGACTGATAAGCTTGGTAAACATCCACTCCTTCTCCAGCACTGACTTCTGGTTGCCCTCGGGAACGGCCACCAGCACCAGCTGGTCGATGTACTCCAGGTACAGCTCGAACGTCTTCCTAACTGTGGCATCGTAGTGATTCAGAATGTTGATGTAGCTCACTAGCTCCGCCTCGTTCTCCACTAGCGCCGTGGTGATGTGCCGCTGATAGCGCTCTCGATGGGTCAGGGCCAAGGTCAGACCCTCCCTAAGCTCCTTCATCAGCTGTTCCAAGCTCAAAGGATTAGGTCGCACCGGTCGCGTTTCAAGGCGCATGCGCAGGAACTCGTGCATAAACTGCAAGGGAATGCCGCTCAGGAAGACGAAGGTGGGAATGTAGGACGGCAGGTTTATGGACTGGGCCTCCTCGCTCCAGTACCCATAGGTACGCAGCTCCACGACCTGCTCACGGCTTATATGAGGGTCCAATCTCGGCACATCTTCCTCTATAGCTTCCGCATCCAGCTCAAAGTCAAAGTCCTCCGCTCCGGGCTTCTCCAAGGCAATGTGAGCCTTGTACAGCGCCACGTTGTGCAGCTTGTGGAGAAAGGCCAGAGACTTGGCCAGTCCACGACTCTTCAGTACGTTCTCAATAAACTTACGATACAGGGCCGAAGACTGTTCCCCGGTGCCATTGTTGCTGCACGTACCCAGCGGCTCCACGCTGAAAATGTTTATGTCATGCATAGATCCTTTGCGCATGTGACTGTGCGAGCACTCGCTGGACAACTGACTAATCTCTGTAGAGGTGGATCTGTAGAAGGTTAGATTATAAAGTATATACTCCAATCCAGGAAAGATATTTTATACTTACTCATTACTGCTGGAAGTCTCTCCAGGCACGTGCGTGGCATCGTTCAGCATAAACTGCACCTTGCAAGGCGTTACGCTGCCGTTACGGCAACCCTTACGAGAGCCTGTCACACTGGGCGGTTTTGAAGAGTCCATCGAGTTGACAGCCGAGTCATCATTGTCCACACCTGAGGCAGAAGAGCTTCCACTGTCCGAGGCCATGTAGGATGAGGTGCAGACGGGCCACGAGAACTTCTCATCTTGCAGCCTGCGAATATCAATATAACATTAATTTCAAATAACGAAATCCATTCAGGTTAACCCACCTGGCCAAGATCTTGCCCAGAATACTCAGCTTGAGCTTGTTTTGCTTGGTTATGTTATACCACAGGCACATGGATTTGATGCGACCCACAAAGCTCTGTGACTTATAGATGGGATGCAGGGCGCCCATGGCCTGAGAGGAGGGATAAAGGGCTTCGGCGGCCTCCAGACGCGTCAGCATTCCCTCCACCTCGCGAAGCGCCAACTCCTGGTGATCCATACAGTCCTTACAGTACAGCGACATGCAACCCTGGCACATCTTGCTGGGCAAAGGAGCTGGAATGGAATTCAGTTATAACGTTGGGGTTTCGTAATGGTAACAACAGACTTACAGCTGGCATTAGAGTTACTATCGGAATGGATGCCGCTGTCCAGACTTATGAGGCTCGGCTCGCGGCGGTAACGCGGCTGGAACTTATAGCTGATGATCTGGGTGAGCAGATCGGAGACGCCTTGACGCGCCTCGAATAGGTACTTGTCCTGCTGTTCCACCGTTCGATCGGCCTGCCAGGCTTGCAGCTCCAGCCAGATGAGATCCTTCAGCTCAGTCTGCCAGGTGTGTTCCTCCTGCGACAGCTTGGCGTCCTGCCGGTCCACGCTGCCAAGCTTGATTAGATTGGCGAACGTATCGTGGAAGTCCTTACGCTTTCCCAGCCCAGCGGTTGCCCTGCCATCGCTCCTCAACATCCCGGCTGGCAGTTGAGCTGCAAAAGCCAGCGGCGGTGCCGAGGAGCGATAGCCAATCGGCCGCGAGGACACGCAGCGATACCGATTGCAGCTCTCCACTACCTTGGAGGCAATGCGCAGTGGGATCGGTGCCACTGCCTCCGAACTGAGCGGCATGATCTTGTCCAGGGACTCTAGGGGATGAGCAGTCTCGTGGAAGCTGTTGCCCCGCGGCGGCGCCACCGCTGTCGTGGCCAGCGAATTCTTCATTTCGCGCTCCGAATCGCGCAGTAGCGATTGAAGC